GTGTTGTAAATACAACTTAACCACTGATTTCTAGTTGTGTCCTCTTTTGGAAGGCCAAACAAAGTAGTTTCGCTTTCACAACGAAACACAGCATCTCCACAACATGGCGGCGGCGGCGGCAACAATACTACAGCGAGAATCAAAGTTACGCCTTCTTTCTTTGCGTGAACATTTGGGCAGCATTATGCAAATCTTCCCACATCGTGACATAGACATGTGAGGGCGTGTTTAAACAAGACGTTTTAGGAGGGCAAGGACGAGTCTTAACTTTTATGAAGAATATCTCTTTGGGTTTGAGATTTTAGTCTTTGCAACTTTAGGGATCTTATCTATGCACAAACAGCTTGTAACACTCCAAAGAGAAAGGAAAACTTGAAATTGCATCATATGACCCCTTTAACAGACTTCATCATAACACAAAGGAGTTTGTTTTTGAGGATGATTTTTCTGCTCTTTGTGTAACTTTAGGTTCACTGCCAAACCCAAACCAGCAAGTTCTTGGTGACACCATCCTGTTCCATTCAGTCCAGATCGGCAGCAGCGCTGTTTACCAATGTAATGCCTCCAATGAGCATGGTTATCTACTGGCCAATGCTTTTGTCAACATCCTGGGTAAGAATATCGAAAAGACAATAAAGAGTCAGTCATTTGAAATATTCAGAGAGGTCACAAGATTGTGATATGTTAGTGTTGTTTTCTTCCTAGACATGGCACCACGGATGCTAGGTCCAAAGAACCAGCTGATTAAAGTCATTGAAAACAACAAGACCTTCCTTGACTGCCCTTTCTTTGGCTCACCGTTCCCTTTACTGCGCTGGTGAGCTTATGTTTCATTGTTTGAAAAGATACACTGACGTTCAAAAATTTGGGGTCTATAAGATTTGTAAATGTTTTCAAAGAAGTGTCTTATGCTCAACAAGGCTGCATTTATTTGATCAGTAAACGTAGTATTATGAAAAATTATTACAGTTTCAAATAACTGTTTTCCGAGTAGTTTTTTCAAACAACTCATTTTTCAGCAGCCATTACTCCAGAGATTTTTCAGAAATAATATGCTGATTTGCTGCTCAAGAAACATTTCTTATTATCGATGTTGAAAACAGATTTGCTGCTTTATATTTTTGTGGAAACTGACATTTTTCGTTGTCTTCACTGTCACGTTTGATTAATTTAATGCATATTTACTGAAAAATATTAATTTCTTCAAAAAAAAAAAAGCTTACTGATCCCAAACTTTTGGGTTTTAGAATACAAATGACATGAATATACTGTACGTGTGTGTTTAGGTTTAAGAATGGTCTAGGCAGTGGTCTGGATGGTGGTCAGTACAAGCTATACCACAACGGTACTTTGGAGATTAAACAAGCCCGGCCAGAAGACCAAGGCACCTACACTTGTGTTGCCAGTAACATTCTGGGCAAGATGGAGAATCAGGTGCGCCTGGAGGTTAAAGGTGAGACCTGAAGCATTAATCACTAAATCTGTCTTGATTTACTTGTATATTCACATGCTAACTTTTGAGTCTTTTGAAGAAAACACATTACATTATTGTTCATGAGTGCCTTGATTTACTCTCTGTGTGTTGTGCTTCATTTCAGAGCCCACAAGAATAGTGCGGGCACCTGAACATGTCACACAACCCAAAGGAAGCACGGTCCGCTTTCATTGTCGAGTTAAACATGATCCTTCCCTTCCTGCTACGGTCACATGGCTAAAAGATGACAAGCCTCTAAGCTTTAGCTGGATGTAATGTCATGTAACAATACCTATACAATATAATCATAATTAGATTGTGCACTATTTTTCACTGTTATATACCAAATTTACTTTCTGTAGTACTTCTTTTGAATTCAAAGATTGTTCAAAGATTTTTTTTTTTGTAAGATTTTTTTTTTTTTTTAAAAGAAGTGTCTTATGCTCACCAAGGCTTCATTTATTTGATACACCAAAAAAAATCTGTAAAATGGTAATATTTTGAAATATTATTACAATTTAAAAGAGCTGTTTTCAATTTTAATATATATATATATTTTTTTAAATGTAATTTATTGATGATCCTTCAGAAATTATTATAATATGCCTAATATTTTGTGGAAAATGTGATCATTTTTTTCAGGATTCTTTGATGAATAGAAAGTTCAAAAGAATAGCATTTATTTGTAATATTTTTTGTAACAATCTAAAAGTCTTTATTGTCACTTTTGTGTAATTTAATGCACCCTTGCTAAATGAGAGTATTAATTTCTTTAAAAAAAAAAAAAAAAGCTTTTTGAACGGTAGTGTGTGTCCTGTGCTTGACGTCTAATTTCTGTATGTTTTAGTGGCCGGTTCAAAAAGGATGAGGAGTCCTTGACTATTCACAATGTCAATCCAGAAGATGGAGGAACCTACACATGCACTGCCAAAACTGAGATAGATGAGGACTCTGCCTCAGCTCGCCTTACAGTTACAGGTACGCACACATTCACATACACCGTACAATAGATGTAGCTCTTCCTTTATGCACCTTTTCTATGTTGCTAACTTATTTTATAATAGATACTAAGCGGATATGGACATGTGGGACAGTCACATGTCACATATCCAGAGGATAATAAACTGCCTTAAACTTTTTTTTTTGTACTTTTATAACTTTTATAACTGTCGCTCTTAAAAATAACACCACAGCACTTCCCTTTATGAAAAATATAGCATGTTTTCTTAATAGTTTGCTTGACTATTACTACTGTTGTGCTTCCTTTTAGCTATAGTGTTTGTCTTTTATTATATTTATCTACTAATAGCCACACTAACCCTTGACCTCTGACCTTTGACCTTTACCACATAGAGGATGACATCTCATCTGCCTCAAATCGTAGTGCCTCTGCAGGTATTATTTCTAATGTCCAATTAAAGCCTCTAACAACCGATCTCTGTTTTTAATTCTTACTCTCAACTTCTGAGAATAATTAGTACTTGAATAAGTTAACATGGTTAATTAGTATGTTGTTCTCTTCCAGGTCGACCCGACCCCCCTCAGGATCTTGAGCTCTCGGACCCCTCAGCACGTAGTGTTAGACTCACCTGGGTGCCTGGGAATGAAAACAACAGTCCTGTTACACGTGAGTTTAGAGTATAGGGTCTCAAGTCACTGATCAGTCAAGTAAATATGAAAAAACAACAACCGGTATAATGATGTAATCCTCAAAAGAAATGACAATAAGTCAATAAGTCTTTTGAATTTTACCTCAATCAAAAGATCCTTTTATCTTTAACGTCATGCACTTTTGAGTTTCCTTATCTGTGTAGGACTGATATCTCTACCTCTTCCTTTTTATTGACCAATACCGGGAATTTATACTTTAAAACTTTTTTTAACAGATATTGCAATTTTCCCACTCTGACTTCTTGCGTTACTACAGATTTCCTCGTCCAGTTTGAAGAGGACAGGTGGGAGCCGGGGAAGTGGCAGAACCTGTCTATATTTGATGGCAACCTAAACTCAGTTAACCTGCAACTGTCACCATTTGTCAACTACCAGTTCAGAGTGATTGCAATCAATGCTGTGGGCCAGAGTCAACCCAGCCTCCCCTCTGCACGCTATCAGACCAGCGGAGCCCGTAAGAGATCAGCTATATCCATAAGCCCTGACAGAAATGCGTTAGAAAGTGTGTTTAAACAGTCATTTCGTTACATATAATGATTTGTTTCAGATCCTGATGTTGTGCCGAGTGGTCTTAAAGGCTGGGGAAGCAAGAAGAACAACATGGAGATCACATGGCAGGTAAAATGAACCAGGTTTATTGAAATACCTCGAAAAAGCAGACAGATGTGACAGTTAGTGACCTAATCTATCTGTACATTTCACAGGCACTTAAGAACACAGAAAGGAACGGGCTAAACCTGCGATATGTAGTCTCATGGAGAAGGAAAGACACTGAGGAAGAGTGGGATAACATAACCACAACCAGAACGAAGCACATTATTCATAATACAGACACTTATGTCCCGTATGAGATCAAAATACAGGCTGTCAATGACTTTGGACACAGCCCAGAATCAAACATAGTCATTGGTTATTCTGGGGAAGACAGTGAGTACTAACATTTCATATTTAATGACACTTTTTTAAACATCTTTTCTGGTTTGTTTTGTACTCATACTATTTTTCCCATCAGAACCATCTGCTGCACCAACAGAACTCAGGGTGTCGAAGATCAACAGCACCAAAGTAAATATTCACTGGGTGCCTGTGGACCCCAGCACTGTGAACGGAGAGTTTAAAGAGTACAAGGTGAGTGACCAAACATCTGCCTGACATGCTCTAAAATTACTTATTTGCCACCATTGCTAATTCAATATTCATATCATATTCTCAGTTGTACTTCTGGCGGGAGGCCAGCCTCATAAAGGGCCTGAAAGTGAACAAGACAAAGTTGCATAAAGGTTTCTTCACCACAGCAGAACATCCCTCTGGCATCCTGACAGAGCTTTTTCCATATAGCAAATACAAGATGTACATGGTGGTGGCTAATAAAGAATATGAGGGACCACTAAGCAACACTGTGGAGTTCTACACCAAGGAGGGAGGTAGGATTCGCCATATTATGCTTTAGTGGTGTAGCATTAGCTACGATGAGACATCAAATATGCAATGTTTATATTCAAAAGCAGAATCTGAAAAGCTTTCATAATCCTTTCATAGAGCCAGGGGCTCCAAAGTACTTTAGGATTCAGAGGCACACAGATGTGGTTCACCTGAAGTGGGACAAGCCCCTGGAGCCAAATGGTGTCCTGATTGGATACACACTCCAATACCATACAGGTGAGGTCACCATACACAAAGAGAAACCTCAAAAATGAGTGTATAAACATACAGAAAGCAAAAAGTTTGATGCCAAGTTTAGCTTAGGGATAGCAGCCACTCAGAACACCCTAGCAAACAAATAGCAACACACTAAGACCCTAGTAAATGCACAGCAACACACTAATAGTTGGTTCAAGTCCTCCTGTGAAGTTCGTATTTACGAGTTTGGAAGTCATAATTATGATGTCAAGTGCATTCAAATTACTTTGGTTGGGGCAAGATGGCAATATACCTTTTCTACAAAAAATACAGCAAGATTTTTAACTCTGCTTTTACCAAATTAATAAGGAATGTACATCAGGTGTGTTTTTGCTTTATGTTTTCATTCAGTTTATGAAGAAACATATGTAGTTATTTGGGTTCATTGTTCACAATATAATCTTTCTGTGTTACGTTTCCCACTTAAATGCATCCCACTCATACTCATCCCACTCATAATTATGACTTTGTGGTGGCATTCATGTGCAATCAACTCGAAAATAAAAATTTTCCAACATGACGTAAATGCACCATAAGCACTTAAACTTAATTGAATTTTGCACCTCTTAGATTTTCTCCATAAAGTGTAAAATCTTGTGCGCTTCCAGTGAACGGGACACAGGCGGGAGAGAGGAAGGTCCAGAGTTTTCCACCCAACGTGACAGAGTACATCATGAATCTGCCTAACCGCTTCACGCGGTTCAAGTTCTACCTTGCAGCTCGCACACAGGTTGGAGCAGGAGAAGTGTATGCCGTGGAGTCACCACATTTCACTAATGAAGGTCAGCAAGCGAGTTGTCTCACTCTGTTGCTGTGAGCTGTTAGTGAATCTGAGAGCAGAATCATTGGGTGTTCCTGTCTGTGCTCCACCCTGTCGTTCTCTTTCCTTCTAATAATACTTTTCTGTCTCCTTCATACTGTTGTTTCTTGATGCTTTGTGGTGTCTTTAACTCAGTCTGTTTCTCTCTTAACTGCTTGATTTCTTCTTTGTCTTCTTTGACTTGCTCTCACCTGTCTCCCTTCTTCTCCTTCTGTCTTTCCTGTGGTGTTGACTGAAGGCACCCCAGATACTGACTCTACAGTTGTAGGTAATGGGGGAATGGACTGCCTGCCTGCCTGCCTGCCTATCTCTTGCCCTGCTCTGTCTCTGACTCTGTTGCAGCCTCTGTCTTGTCTTTCTCTCAAATTCTGTCTGTCTACTTTAAATATGTAACAGTGCAGCTGAGTACTTAAACTCAAGGCCACACTTGAGATTCCTACACTGAAAAAAAGTAAATTTCACAAATAATTGCAAGAATCGGCAAGTAACACTTTAAATTAAACATGAAATTTTGAAGTATACAGAGTGAAACAGTATTACATGTACTCAAATAGTATTTGTTTTGTTTACCGCTTCAGAAAAAAAAAATTACAATGTAGCCAAACACAAATAACCCACATACTGTATTTATTTAAACAGTTTTACCAACAGTTACAAGCACCAAATGGATTTCTTTCTTTCTTTCTTTCTTTTTTAGTGGCCTGACTGGACTTTTAAGATATTTTTTAAGATACTTAAGAAGCAAATGGCATAAGATACTTTCGAACACAAGAAGTTTTCAGAAGTTTGAGTTATATTTAATTGATAACAATTTATTTATTATAAATGTATTATAATTGATTTAATCATTCATTTTAAATAATTATTTTATATCTGAAATAATTAAATAAATTGTGCCAAAATTGTGTACAAAAATTGTCTTATACACATTTGCTTCGCAAGTCAATTTATATTTTTTAAGGTAATTTTTACTGGGGAAAAATACTGAGGGGAATATTTTAAAGTTGTTTGAATAGAGGATTTTTAAAATTATTATTATTTTAATTTTCATTTTGTTTGGTACCTCTAGGATTTGCACACTTCACATTTAACTCTTATATTTTCTCTGATGAAAAACACTGCTCAGCTGCACTGTCAATAAATGCCTGTCCCTATCCGTCTATTTGTCCGTCTGGCATCATCCATGTCACTGTGTGCTTTCAGGGATGGGCTCTTGCACTTTTGTGAAGTCACTGAATCTGCTCTCAGTGTAGATGATTAGAGTTTTATCACTTTATGATGCTGGTAAGATGCTATTTTGCCCGAAGTGCCACACAAATAAGATTAAAGTCATGTGTGACTCTGATGTGATTTGTGATTAATTGATTGACACCTAATCCCTGATGGCACCTTGCTACTTTAGCCCTGACATCACTTCCTACCACATGCCTTGCTTGGCATATCCTAGCATGCTCCTCTCATGATTTTGTTTTAAAATCTAGCCTAGAGCTAGATTGAACCATTTTATTGCTAGAGTTTGTAAAATGGAGACCTCTATTGGTAATGCTTGATACAGTTGTTTGTGTTAGGGAAGGGAAGTTAATGTTCAGATGATAGAAGACAAAAATCAAATAATGTATGGACATCTGTGAAGAGAATGCTGTTACAGAAGTGAATCACTATGGCAAGCCAATTTAACGGTTGTTTATGTAGATTATACCAGTTTCTCAAAAATGTTTAAACTGTTGACTAGTTAAATGCTTTGGATGAAAATTGCATCCATTGACCAATGCGCTTTGTGTTGATAGCACTGAAATCTCAATCTTCTCTTTCTCTTTCTCTGGTTGAAATAAAGGGCATACTGTTATGAATAGGCCTACTGAATTAATATCATTTTGTGTTGGAGGATAGCAGTTATATCATAGGCCCATTGAATTGTACAGTACCTGTCGTACCTGTCGAATTTTATGTTATTAAAATAACTTTTTTAGATTTAACACAGGTTGCAAATAGTCAGAGAGGAAGCAGTTTGTGTGATATTTGTGTAAATGACTACTTTCCTTTGCCAGCTGCTCTTTCAAAGTGGATGCAGATACTTGTGATTAATACACCAAAATGCCAAATTTATCAGTATTTTCATAGTTAATGCTGTTACCATGCAAGGCTAAGCTTTACAAAAGTGGCAGAAGTTTTCTCCTTTCAATCATGCAAATTATGCTGTGCAAAGCTTGCAATGAAAAATAGCCTGTGTTAAAATGAAATTCAATTATTCAGTTATGAAACAGTATTAATGGAGTGATGATATTTGGCTGTGAATCCATCCATGACAAAAATAGCATAATAATAAAATAATAAGTGTATTAGCAAAGTAATTATGAGCTGTTTTCTAATGTGTCTCCACCAACTCCTCCAAAGTTGTTGTTTATGTGTAGCTAGTGCATGTGCAGGTCAAATGCCAAGTAATGATAAATGGAGGCTAGTATTAGGTAAGGCAAAGCTGCAGATAGTGAGTGTTGTGCTGCTTAATTATTAAAAAGAGTAAATGTTAAATCAGCTCGCCATTAGTCGCAAACTGTTGCTTTTGCAATGCACGCGCCGCTTCTGCTTGTGCCACGGTCATATTTTTTTTTTTTTGTGTCAGATGGAGACATACAGGTAAGAGTGCTCTAAGTTATGGCTGATTGGCTGTGTTGATCTGAAACCACACCCCTGTGAAAAAGACTCACATACATTAGCATGTCTTGGTCTGGCAAAACTTGATGTCACCAAGGGCTCCGGGGCTCTCTGACACTCTGTCTGGTTTAAACTTTGCCAGCATAGTATGGATTGCTCTCATGTTTTAGTTTTGCCTGTAAAGTTGAGTTTGGAAACTGCTTATACAGTTTTTGTTATGGAGTTAATGGTACTCAAAGCACTGTTGTTTCCAAGGTAAAAGCTTCAAAAAGATGTACAATATTGAATATTTTTCATTATGAATCTCTTTATCTTCCATGATAATGATTCTATCCCATGTGTTGTCTAATGGATTTCCACATATTTTCTCTTTTTGTATTGACAGCTCTGCAAAATTGTTTGTTAAATCCCAGTAGATATGATTTTCTGTTTTTAGTTGTTTCAAAATGCCAATAGATCTGAGAATACTGTAGCATTTTGCAGAGTGTTGCACAGCTTATACACAGTGGTTTGTAGTGACACTGTTTTTCCCCTTGGTGGTGCACAACAATCAATTTTTTGATACCCTCTATGCAACCTCTTCATTATTCCTCAACGGCATGATATGTGCCGACATTCATGCTCACAAATATCACAAAGTTGTGAGCGTGAATATTTCATGTATATTTCAAAAGATATTTGAGCAGTAATACAAGCTAAACAAACAATGCAAGCATTACAAAATATTGGCATCTTAAAGCAGCACTATGTAACTTTTTCTGTGTTCAAAATTTGCAAAATGTATATAATGAGCGAGTACATCATGAATTCATCTTCCTAAACCGTGATTTTGTCTTATTCCGAATCACTACGGTACACTTATAAAAAGTACTTATATTTGGACTATTGTAGCCTGGTCGGGTCGTCAACGCTGCGGAGTAACCCATACCTGCGTGAATCGCCATAGACATAAACTTAGAGAAGTAGCTCCGGTTGGAATGTTCTTCCGCGGGATGTGTGCAGTTCTGTTTATTAACCGCTAGAGCGCCAAAAGTTACATAGTGCTTCTTTAAAGATGCAAATATTCTTCAAGGCATGACATAATTTCTGGTCATACTTAAGCATGGTATTTAGGTGTCTGTCATGACCCAGGATATTGAATTATTATACATATATACTATATACACTACCATTGAAAGATTTTGGGACAGTACGATTTTTTTAAAATGGGTTTGAAAAGCCTTGCTTGCAAAGGCTACTATTACATTTTAAAATATCTGTTTTCTGTTTTAATATATTTTACTCCAGTCTTCAGTGTTTTATTTGTTGCTTATTTTTTTTATAAATCTTAACATTATAAATGTTGTTACTGTCACTTTTAATAAATTTAATGCATCCCTGCTTAATAAAAGTATCAATTGCTTTAAAAAAAAACTACTCCCTGAACATTTGACTGGTAGTGTGTAGATATATGTATACATGCATACATACATATACACACACACGCATACACACATACAAATACAATATTACAAAACAGAAGAAACGTTGTTTTCACATAGTTAATTCACAGTTTGTAGATTACAGTAGATAATAATATAAATAGCAGATAGAATACAGTAGATAATATGCAGTATGCCAGTATTCCATTCGGAACATAGCCACTGTCTTTCACTGAATAAGTTTTGGAAAAAGGGAACTGTGGGAATTCCATTTAATTAACTCTTTTCTGTGTTTTCTCGCTTCTCTTTGTCTCTCTTGTGCTTAACCCTGGAACCGCCACCTAAACTTCTCTCTGTTCTTCCTCTCAGCCGTTAACTTTACAGATGGCTTGATGTTTGAAACTCCTCCTCCTCCCCCTTCCCTCTCTACTGACCCAGTCCCAACAATACTTACCCCAGAACCAGCCACACCAGCCCCTACAACTGCTGCTCCGCCCAAACCTACAACTACTACCACTACTACTACTACAACTACCAAAACTACTACTACCACCACTACTACAACAGCTTCCACCACGGTTCTTCCTGTTCGGCCCATGTCTCCTAAAACAGTGGATTGGAAAATGCTGGGTATCTGATAATGACGCAGTGTGCATTGGCAACGCCCACAGTATAGATTAATTAGATCAAATCAGTGTGTCTTCTTGTTTAGATGACATTTATTATGTATGACTGACTCGGTTAGCAGACCATTTAGGACAGGGCATGATTGATGTTCGCCCTGTTCCCTCACGGACACTTAGATTATGCAGAATTAGTATTGACATTTGCTTTACAAATAGTTTAGTTGCATTATAACATTAAATGCATGATGTTGCTCACTAAACTATGAGATATTTAGAAGAAAAGGTTAGAAATTAAATCACACATGCTAGCATATATTGTTAACATTTTCTTGCTAATGTATTCAGCTGTAAAGACCCCATGAAAGTTTTCTTTCTTGTGTTGACATATTTATAGTGACAGTATTTACAGGTGGTAAATAGCTAAACGCCAAACATAGCTGTAAATACAGCTATGTTTTTAATAGCTAATAAGATTAAACTAATGTCTGCTATGAACTATGAAAACTATATTCGAAAAAAGTTCGAAATGCAACAATATACCATTTTCGTACATTCTGACACCACCCATGCTGCTGGAAGTGGTGTTTAGATGAATATTCAAATATGTGCCGCATGCTATAATCTCAATAACATAAACACCCAACAAAAAATGACAACGGTGAGAGAAGAGGAGCTGGAAGCCTCAGTTCGAAAGTATTTACCAGCCGGCACAAACTTTTCCGAAAGTTAACTTTGGTGAGTTGTTTCAAACTACCGAAAAAACTCCAAACAAACTTTGTTTTGACCAGGTTTAGTTCGAAAAAATGTCACACCAGTTTGTTCTTTGATTTTGCTTGATGTTTATTGAGGCCTTAAGAGTGAGGTCACATTTACCTTTATATGGCAAAAATCTGTGGGTTTGTACACAAGAATTTGCAACATTTACCAATAAAAAACGTTCAAAGTTTTTTAAAGTGGTGCTTAATGCATCACTTAATGCATATATTGATACATGCTTAATGCATATATTGATAATGGACAGGAAGTTTTGCTAATGTGAACGTGAAGGAAATGTTTTCATTCTAAAGAAAATTTTATTACACAAAAATTTAAATATGCCACAAAGTGCAGGATGATAGCCATATTTTTGGTCTAGTCTCCCCAGAGGATCGTATATACCTGCTAAACATTTTGTTAACTATACAAGCAAATAGAGGACCTAACCTCAAAGCTAAGTAATCTATATTAACTAAAAGATACAAAAGTCAAATTTAAGTTTCATGGGGTCTTTAAGTTTAAGTATGTGTAACCTAACCAGTGTCTGTATCAGAAAATATTTAAGTGTACTCCTCTCCCACCTGTTCTGCATAGCCCCGAATGTAAAAATCTGGAATCTGACCGTGGATGCTAACAATGACTATGCTAACGTCAGCTGGAAGCACAACTTCTCCGTTGACAGCAGCGAGTTTGTGCTAGAGTTCACACTGGACAGTAAGAGCCAGATGCACCTATTGAGAGCTTATAAAGGGACACTAGATTTTACTGGGCCTGCTGGAGACCCAAATCATACTCTTGTAATGTTTAATTGGGCCTCATTTATATGGCAAATTTACAGAACATCACAGTAAACATTACAGGGAGCTCAGATTTATTTGAAAGGGAGGTATTGTAAATGTTGTTTGAATTGTTCAGCATTTAGGATGTCTCCCTGCTGTGATCCTCTGTAATGTTCTTTTTCCACTGTATTTGTTTAGCTTGTTAACTTAAAATGTGTTTTAACACCAAACTGAGGCAGTCCCCCAGCATATTACTCAATAATATCATATCTACCTGCAATACTGCGTTCTGCTTTGTGTCATAAGCAGTCATGCATGTCCCCTTTAGAAAGCTCTTTTTCTCACTGGTGGCTAAGAACAGGGAGAGATTTGACTAAATCTATGAGGGGGAGAGACACCTTGAGACTGAAAAAAAAAGAGATGACCAAGACCTGCTCTAATTGGGCCACAGAGAATTTTGGTCAGCAAACTAGTGACTTTGAGGCACCCAGCAGTCCACTCTTATTATATAAAGTACTGCACTCACTTAAACATTTTAGAAGTTTTGTCTTGTATTTTACAAGTAAAAATATATAAACATTTTAGGTGTGAATGTATGTGAGTATTAAACAATATAAGATTTGTTTTCAGAAAACATGCTGCAAAAAATATAATTTGTTCAGCTTTTTAGCTTAAAATGAATGTGTGTGTGTGTGTGTGTGTGTATATAGATAGATAGATAGATAGATAGATAGATATTAAATAATGTAAATATTTTCTTCTTGTTTTAATCTTGAACCTTATTAACTCAATCTGTGTTGAAACACTATGGGAACGAGAATGCCCACTCCGCCATGCTTAAAAATCCCTGCCTAGTGTCACAACTAGTATAAGAAAACAGGAGCCAGGAGTGGTTCCCATGTCAATGTTGTAAAACCTGACAAACATGAGTGGAGAAGACCAGCCCGCAGCATTACAGATATCTGTATCGACACCCCAGAGAGAAAGGCCTTGGAGGCTGCCACACTTCTCGTAGAGTGGGCTCTGACCCTCAAAGGTGAAGGGATGGCAGAGGACTCATAATCAAAAGATATCACATCCACAATCCACCGTCTTAAGGTCTGCTTGGTCACCGGAAGACCTCTCTTGGGCGGACCAAAGCAAACAAATAACTGGTCAAACTTCCCGCACAGGGCAGCTCTGTGGACATAAGCATCCAGTGCAAACCAGATTAAGCTTCTTAAAGGGAGGAGGACAGAAGGCCTGCAGCACAATGGGCTGTGGAACTATGGTGGGCACGTTAGGCACATAACCTGCTCTAGGGTATAAGAATGCTTTAGTCATACCAGGAGCAAACTCCAGAAATGAAGGGGCCACAGAAAGAGCCTGAAGGTCACCGATACTCTTGAGAGAAGAGACAGCCAGTAAGAAAATAGTCTTAACTGTGAGGAACCTCTCTGTTTAAATCAAACAGAGAGCTTCCAGGACGAAGGCCAAATCCCAGGACGGGACTCTAGAGCGCAAAGTAGGCCTCAGCCTCAAGGCACCATGGAGGAAACTTGTAACCAATGGGTTCCTCCCCAATGACTGGCCACCCAGAGGGGTGTGGTAAGCAGCCATGGTCACCACGAACACCTTCAGGGTGAAGTGGGCTAACCCTGTGGAAAATTGTTCCTGCAGGAACTACAGCACTGAACCAACTGGGCAGTTGACTGGATCCAGCTGACAGATATCACTCACAGAAGTGTAAAGGTTCCACTTCAAGGACTACAAATTCCTTGTGGAGGGAGCTCTGGATTGGAGAATGGTCTCAACAACCTCACTTGAGAGACCGGAAGCTATGAGTTGGCTTCAGGGGCCACACCCACAGTTTATCTCCGGGGGTGAAGAATTGAGCTCCCCACCTGAGATGGGAGGTCCCTCCTGATGGGAATCTCCCAAGGAGAGCCATTGAGAAGGGCCACCATGTCCGAGAACCATATTCGGCCCGGGCCAGAACGTAGCTACTTGCAGCATATGAACCCCGTCCCGGCGCACTCTCTCCAGAACTCCCGGGAGCAGAGCAATAGGGGGAAAAGCGTACCGACGCATCCTCGGCCATGTCTGTACCATAGTATCCAGTCCCAGAGGAGCTGGATGTGTGAGGGAGAATCAGAGTGTAAAATTTGAGGTCTCTCAAGATGCAAACAAGTCCACTTGGGCCTGGCCGAACACCTTGAGGTGAAGCCTCCATTCCCCGGGACTCAACCCCTGCTTTGACTGGATGTGTGCTCCCTGATTGAGGTGCCCAGGGATGTAAACTGCTCTCAGGGAGAGACCACCGACATGTTGTCTGTTCGGACTAGCACATGATGGCCTCTCAAGTCTGGGAGAAAGTGTCTCCACGAAACACGGCCAGCATCTCCAGGCAGTTGATGTGCCACAAGAGATGTCGGTCTTCTCACAGACCCTGAGCTGAGCAACCACTCATGATCCCTCCCCAGCCTGTGAGGGATGCATCTGTCGTAAGCATTACGCAATGACATGAAGCTCCCAGCACAGGACCCTGGGAAAGGAACCAAGGATTCCTCCACAAATCCAAGGCCCAAAGGCATTGCCGCATGATCTTGATAGTGCGGAGCAGGTTGCCGCACGGCGAAAACCCCTTGGTTCTGAGCCACCACTGCAAGGGTCTCATGTACAGCAGGCCAAAAGGTATCACGTTGGACGCTGCTG